CCACCTCGCCTCCTCCCTCCAGGCCAGCAGCAGCCTTCTCCTCCGCAAAGGACAGCCGCAACGCCGGTCGCAAGTCGTCGGCAAGCACCATCCTCCGGCGCTTGGAGAGATGCACTCACAGGGAGGCGCACATCGTCTGCCAGTTCGAGCGCCGGGTTTGGTCGCGTTCGCCGGAATAGTGGGTCTCTGTCTGCTCTCCTCTCTCCTCTTCACTTTCTATGGTCAGCCCCGAGTGAAATGGAGCAACGCGAATGGGCATCGGTGGGTAAAGGGAATAGGCGTGTGCGCGTTCGCGGTGGACACCTTCCCAGCGAATGAGTTGGAATCCCTGACGTGGCAACCTAGAGCGCTTTAAGATTCATGTTTTTCATCCGACAGCTGTCGGGTAGTTCGCTGGCAAATCCCTCCCAGGGAACGTCAGCCTGATAACATTCCCGAAAAAATGATAATCTTAATTCCATCAAGTATTTATGTCATTTACTTTGCTCCTCAACCAACTTTCAGACAGCTGGCTCCGCTGACGGCGGATCATGTTTGATGGTTTTCACCGTGTTACCCTCCGCGCCACGTTCCCTAGTTTTTTGACATGTACTCCCTCCGTTTCTAAATATTTATCTTTTTAGAGATTTCAAATGAACTATCATGTACGGATGTATATAGACATATTTTAGAATGTAGATTCACGCATTTTGCTTCACGTGTAGTCACTTGTAGAAATTTCTAGAAAGACAAATATTTAAAAATGGAGGGAGTAACTAACACCTCATGCGACATGCCATCTATGTTTGTCACCTCGCTTTCTCCCCTCCATGGACATAACCCGAACCATTCAATGAAACCGGATCATGTGCCAGGGGTTACTTACATTTTTTATACCTAAAGTGAGAATTATGAACCGCATTTACATAGAGATTATCCGAACAATGGTAATTTGGGAGGGGGGGGGGGGTAAAAACGATCGTTCTTCTTCATACCACACTAGCTACTTTGTTCAAAATGGCGTCTTTCATGTAAAGGGAGGGAGGGTGTATGTAGGAAAGAGCCCTAATTTGGATACCATACTTGCACATGCATCACGTGGAAAGTAGAGGCCCTAGCTAAGTAGCTAGTGTATATACATTGAAAAGGAGATTGTAAGAAGAAAAAGGCAACAGCGTTTGCCCATACTCTGCGCCTGCTGATCCCTCATGCCTCAGGAGTAACAGAACATCTCCCTTTAGCTTCTCATCTGACATGACATGAATGGCCGTGGGGCTAGCTCTCTCATCATCCGATGGACCTGCGCGCGGTCCTCTCCTATTTTTCTTCTCCATTTTCTGGGGTTCGAGGACAGGCAGTTCTGGATCAAGTTGGGCATTCTCCAATTTTGTTCTTGGAGGAAAGAGAAGGTGTACTAGCTACTGGACAAAGCCCCAGCAGACACCAACTTTTTTGCACCCCTTTGCTGCCATGGAATCATGCACCACAATTACCGAGGCCGCCCCAAAGTTTCTTTCTTTCTTCCTGAAGAAAGGGATCTACCTCCTCCTGGTCCCTTAATTTACTGAAAAGAAGTAAAGTTGGCGTGCCGCAAATATATTCAAGAAAAGATTCACAACCCAGCTTTACACCTGTTGTATATACAGTTCTAAAAAAAAACTCCATGCTGATCAGTACACAAGGTGCCATTGTAATTTAAGTCTAATTTTGATACCCGGTTTAACTAAGACAATACGAGTTATATACCACAAAGTTATACCATTGGATTTGCATTTCAAAGATGTTTTAAAAATAAACCTTTTGCAGAATATAAATCATATTTTCTTCCTTAAATCGTTGATCAAAGTTAGACTCGAATAGTGTGGGGCCTTGTATTCCGGCCGGGAGGACCTTTAACAGTTTAACTGCATAACTTCTAGCTAGTTTTGTTCTGCAATGCAATTTCTAAGTAGTTTAGTTTCTACTTGTTTTAGGACATATGTATAGCTACTCCACAACAGTTGGCGTACTAATTAGCTATGTTAATTATAACTTACTGTCACAGCTCACATATATGGTTGGTTTTCAATTAAGGACCTTTTCTACTTTCACCCGGTCGCAACATGATTTGATATGTACGTACATCTATCAACCTGTCATTCATGCATATATGTGGACAAATACAAGCTATATAGATGTTCCAAGACAGATAATTGACATACCTTGGCAGTTTGCTTGACCCGTTTTCTTTTCTGGAGAACAATGTTGTACCATGTCTGTACTAGAGGCTGACACGTACAGCTTATGGGTAATAATACAACCCCAGGGAGGGAGAGAAAGACTGTCTCTTTGTGTTGGAGCCTATGCTCCGGGATCTAAAGGCAGAGATCCTATGATCCTAGCAGAAAATGTTATAATGATTCACCTGTAATTGGCAGAGGAGAGAGAGAGTGTATGTGCAAGAGAGAGAGGAGAGATGAGAGAGGAGAGAGAGAGTCACCTTTCTTGGCTGATGCCTTGAAAGGGGTAAGAGAGAGAAAAAGTTACCCAAGATAAAAGGGTGAAAGCCTTATGAGAAAGAGAAAGGCTCATGGGCATCTCCATTTTTCAAACTCAACAGTAGCAGTACTATAGTTTCCCATTGGAGGTTGTGTTCTTGAGAAAGCTTGGAGAGAGCTAGCTGGACTGGCATTTTCTAAGCTTCCTTCCCCTCTTGGAAGTAGCACACCAAGATCTCCTAGCTTTTAATTAGTATAGCTAGTGTAGTGTAGCACCATGATGGCCTCCTCGTCTTCCTCCTCCGACCTCAGTGCGGATCACCGGCTCTTGCAAGATGACCTCCCATGGCCTTCTCCTTCTTCCATGCCGCCCCCGCTCGCTCCAGCTCTTCATCATGCTGTCGGAGGCAACCACCACCAATGGAGCCAGCCCCTAATGCTGTAAGCACCTTCTTCAATTTTGCCTATATATGTGTTCAGCAGTTTTCATCTTCACCCCTCTTTTTCTTTTCTTTTCTTTTTTTGTTGAGAAATTGTTGAAAGAGAGGATAGAATCTTCCTAATTGTTGAAAGTAGAAAATTAAGCGAGGAAGGTGTGCTCACAGTCATGGTGTTTGAGTTTGTATCCCTCTCTCAGATGCATATATGAATGATTCCTAGGATTTGGAGTTTTCTTCTGGGTTGCTTGTTTGCTAGAGTAGCACCTGGTTCTGGTTGTCCCGGTGCATTGGGAATTGTGGCGCAGCAAAATGACAAGTTCAGAGAGAGAATAAAAGAAGGGAAGAAACAAATTTAATGTGCGTGGCAAGCAACTAGTAGATCTTACTATTTTGTTGGTTTCCTACAAGAGGCGTGGTGTGTGTATGCTTCCTCTTGTCATCGTCAATCTCATGTTAGTTAGTAATTTATTTATTATGCTGGATGAATCATTAAGCAGACCACATCTATCTACACACATATATAATTGAACTCTTTGCAGTGAGCAGTTGAGTTCAGACGAGCTTGAGGCACTCCTGTCAGCACAAGTCCACCAGCATCATAGCCATAGCCAGTTGCTTGCTGCTCCATTGACAGCAAACCCTCATCATCAGCTGAGCTCACTGCTGATGATGCAAGAGCTAGGGTTCCAATGGAGTAGCAGCTGCGGCGCCGCCGATGGAGACTCGAACGAGACAGCGCAAGATGCGGTCAAAGAGGACGCCAAGCTACCAGGGCCCCTTGTGCTTCCAAGACCGTCATCGTCGTCGAGCATCGCTTACGATGACGACATGGCCGTCGACGTGCTCCCAAGCGTCAACGTCTCGCGGCTGCAGAAGATTCCATGCCCAGTCGCGGCGGGGCCTTTTGGCGGCCGCGCGGAGGCGACCCTCGAGATGCTAGCTTCGGCCAAATTCTGCAAGAGCCTGCTGGGCTGCAGCCAAGCTTCTTCGACGGTGCTGCTCCATAACGGCGGTGGGACGGCGCCATTGCTGGGGATGGGAGGGCATCATGTGGCATATGGCCCTCCTCCTCCTGTTCATCGTCTGCAAGGGCCATCCTCCATTCTCCACACCTACAACAAGGTCAGTGCTACTACTGTGTACCGTCCTCCTTGACTTAATTAAAGAGATGGGGATTTAATTGAGAGCCATGATGGAAAATGTACAATTAACGAGGTAGAGAACTGTAGGGCAGTACGACTGAATTGTGAATTTGCTGGCACAACAGTTGTATAAGTACATAGAAATTAATACTGACCCAGGGATCTAAACTCTGCTAGGTGGCTGAAAGGAAAAAAGGCCTTTTGACCATTTACTGCAAACTGGCCGATCTAGCTAGCTTAGCTGAAAGGAAAAAAAGCTTAATTTTGCTGACCCGTTTGCAAGAGGTAGCTAGATGGTACAGTACATATGCATGCAGCCTTTTGGTCTGGTGCGTGTGATGCAGCAAGCAAGCAAGCAGCTTTAGGATGGATGGATGGATCGATGGCATGGATGGGTCATCTTTTCTCTCGCCAGCCCAAAAGTACTACTATAGCATATGACCTTCTTGCAGTTCCATCCATCCATATTAACTGGTGCTTACTAATTAGTTAGTGATGATCTGCAAGGCTGCAACTAACCACTGTTGAGCAATTGCATACATGTCGTCCAGACCGATCCAGTTCGGCGATCAATGCAATTATTACAATGTAGCCAGTATCCACTCATTTTCATTTCTATATCTTGAAAATATGCAAATGTGTGTACAAGACTAGCCAATTGTGCATGCTTACTGTCCGGATGCATAATTTGGTACGACGTGTGCAGATGGGTGTGCCTGCTGCTTTATTGAGTGGAAACGGAAGCGCGCTGCAAGCAGCCACGGGGAGATCATCAGGAGGGGGAGGCCTGCACGACGAGCAGCAATTGCAAATGTTAGAAGTATCGTCGAAGAAGAAGCCTCGGCTGCTCCACTCGCGCCCCGCCACCAACAACAATATCCTCCCTTCTTTCAAGGTATGTACTACTCCTGACTACATCTCCAACATTTTCTCTATCTACTCTACTCCCAAGAGAATGTCTTGTTTTGTCTTGTCAAGTCTATTCTCCTCATGTGTGTGTGTGTTGTGCTGTGTTATGTTGGGTAGTGTGTGTGTATGTGTTGTACTGATCACAAATTCACTACTGCTCATGTGTTACTGAGCATGAGTTTACCTGCATTGCTTGTTAATTAATGAGTGAGTACCTGCACTACATGCATGTCTTGTCCTTTTTATTAGGTAAGGAAAGAGAAGCTAGGGGATAGGATTGCTGCTCTTCAACAGCTGGTCTCACCCTTCGGCAAGGTACGTACTGCTACTGGCAACAAGCTAGCTAGCTTAGCAAATTACCATTTACCACCAAAAAATTAACATGTAATTTGGTTCAGTGTTCAAACTGTGAATTGTGTTGTACTGGACTTATTTTATAATTGGAAAATTCATGGTCACAAGAATAGAGAAAAAACTGGTTAATTTATCAACAAGAAAGTAGACAAAAACTAGTTGGGTAAATGAAATATATTATCACAAGACAATACATGGCCTTATGGTAATTGTACTCTCACGAAAGTACATGACCAGCATGGTTTAGTCCTTTTCGTACTTAAATTTGTCAATAATGACAATGCTACCAAGCATATGAACCTGTATAGCCCAAAGAACAATGTTTTCAGACTGAAACGGTATTTAAGGTCAACTTGTCCTATTTATGTATGCACAGACCCTCTTGTGCTGAATTTACTCTTTGGGGTACAGAGTACAGTTGGGCAAAAGATAAATTTGGCAAATAAATAATATTTCGACGCATAATTTACCTCTTAGATGCTTCTACATGTAGTTGATATCTTGCAAAAAAAAACAGTAATCTTCATGAAAAGGAGAATCCCTCACATGTATATCTTCCTGGCTGTGTGCAGACTGACACAGCATCAGTGCTGATGGAGGCCATTGGGTACATCAAGTTTCTTCAAGACCAGGTCGAGGTAATTCAATTAATTCTTAGTCAGGTCTAAATAATTAATGCCTCTATGTGCCATATACTAGCACTGCATCCTGACCATCATCGCTCATTTAATTCATGCAGACTTTGAGCGGGCCGTACATGAGATCAGCCAAACATAAGAAAGCCAGGACAACACAACAGCGGGTACGTAACTATTTATACTTTATGAACTTTAAATCTATTTGGAAAAAAAAATGAAAACCTGTTAATAAGCAATGGGTAGACTTAAACTGTTATATTTGCCTGATGTCCAATCTAAGAAATACTACTTGCCTGATGATGCTTACACATTGATGTTGGTTTATGTCGACAGGGGCCGTCAGACACCGGAGATCAGAAGGAGGAAGCAAAGGTTGATCTTCGTAGTAGAGGGCTGTGCTTGGTGCCTCTCGCGTGCACATCCTACGTCACCAACGAGAATGGCATCTGGGCCCCACCTAATTTTAGGGGAAACTAATCAGTGTTAGCTGCAATTAATAGATCGATCAAGCACACAGGTGTACTCTGAAAGAAAACATTAACTGATTAATTCCAGATCTCCTGAGAAAAATATGTTCTCTTTCTCCCTCCCGGGCACCGGAACGGGATGTACATATCTCCTTTGCTTTCACCATTTCGATCAAATCTCTATAGCCAAGTGAATCATCTGGAAAAAAAAAAGAACTAGTCATGTGAAACTATGCAATTGCAGATCATGGAAGCATGCCATTGTGTCATGGAGATGTCATGCTGCTGGTTACTATGAATTTGTAACTTATTTTGTTTAGGAAAGTGTCAACCCATAAAATTAGTTGCTTGTTCTGAAGCACTGTTCACCTATCATGAATTTAAAGACTAGGCAGGAAAACAGAAAAGCAGGGGTGAGCAGTTAAGTGTCAGCTGTAGGGCTATAGCTTACCTGAGCATTAGCAGTGTGGAAGTGGACATCCACCACTCTGGTTCTGACTAAGAAATGATGAGCTCGCACATATGTAGCCACTCGTTGATTGATCTGCAAATCCAACAGGAAATATGTACATGATAAATAACTTTGAACAGAAAGATGAATAATGTTCAGAGTAGACAGGGCCAAACAGCCAATAGTATTTCAGCAAAAAAGAAGAAAGCCAGTTGTAGGTCAGTTGGTAATTTTTTGCCATGTCAAACTCAATATATCATTAAGTTGCTCATGTATTGGTGACAGCAATACACAACAAATACTCTTTTTTCAGAATAAAGTGCGCAAATCACTACCTGAAGTTCAAACAGCAGAACACTGAGAATGCACCCACCGAGCTTCAGATTCTTCCTTTCAATACATGTACACTTGATCTCACATTGCGAATACAACAAGAACTTTTGAAGAATATTCAGATGCAGGAGTTCTCTTTGTTGATGGATCAGTGTCCTGAATAACTAAATAGTGTATTATTTTGGTGCTATGCAACCCATTTCCTGCTCTGCAGCTGTATTGCAGCAACCGCATGCCGCTTATCAACACAATGGTCCTACAAAATTAGTCGTTCAAACATCATGCAGCTCCATTAAGG